AATCCTCTTCCATTCGGTGCCCCTGAACATTTTGTACAAACGAGCTGATGAATAACCAGCAAACAATCCCATGAAAACCCACAGAAGGACCATAGCAGTCATCAGCCCTCCTCTGTTGGAAGGAGATAAGAAACCCAGCAGAGCAAATATCATTGTTACAAGCGTCATTCCAAAGATCTGAACGCCCGTGCCGATATAAACACACAATAGACCAGAATTGATGGGTGGTCTAAACACATCTCCGTGCACAAGCTTCCATCCTGTTTCCTCCTGAGCATCATCTTGGGCATCCAATTGATTATAGTTGGCAATATCTCTATACAAAGTTCTCATCATGATCATGGCCACCATGCCAGAAAGGAAAAGAACAATCATCAGAGAGTTTATAATGGAAAACCAGTGAATTTGATCGTCATTCATGAGAAGGTATGTGTCCCACCGAGAAGCCCATTTAATATCACTTTCCTGTGAAATGATCAGGATCAATTTATAACAGAAACGTCAGAGGAACAGTTCAGGAGCATCAGGGATTAGTGACAACCATACCTTGAATGAAACATCATACGTAAACGCAATCTCCTTGTTCATGTCAACTTCTTGAGGAACAGTGCTGCCTTGGATGAAATTTTTTGTGTCCTTATTGCATGTAATTAGCTGCGGATTCTTCTCATCCCACTCTTTGTATTCATGATTAATACTGTTAAAAACAACGAGGGAAAGAAATTAACCTACTGAACTCACTACAGTTAAATCATGGAAATAAGACAAACAAAAAAAAAAAACTAGGGGCAAAAGCAGCGGTTTTTTAGAAGCATGAAGAGCCTTGGATTGGATATCACTCTAACGGCTTAAGTCGACGAGAGAACCAGTGGTCAATTAATACAAGAAGTGCAATTGAACTTGCAAGAGCAAGGGAAAAGAAAAACCTGTTTGGTGTAACCTCAAATCCAACAATTCGAGACAGATCCGTGTCAGGGTCCTTGTGAAACATGACTCTAAAGCTCAAGTGGTTATTGATAAAATATTTTTCCTCTTTGCTCTGTGAATGGAAAGGGAAGACGTATATTAATGAAAATATAAAAGCTACAGTGAAAAGTAAAAACTGAAAACTTCATATTTTAACTGCCATCAAGATCATACCCCAGCATAATTCCCTTTGAATCCAACGAGAAAACCATGTTCGTAAGTGGTTGATGGATTTCCGTCCCTCCTTTGTCGAAGAACGGCAACTGGAAGGTTATCCAGGATCCTAAACATCCATAGGGGGAGCATCTCATTGTAAGAAAAGTGGATAAAATTAATAAATATGCCACAAGGGAAGGAATGTACTTTGAGTAAATTATAAAGTGGAACTTAAGTTCCACAGTCGAAACTCAAAACAAGATACCATTAGACACATACATATAAAAGGTTTACATTTGCAACTTACATGTTTACTCGATATTTATCATCAATTTTCTCCTTAAAATTCTTTGCAGAGTCAGCATCAAGTGTAACCCTACAGACAACAGTACAAGACTGCTCCTCCCTCATTTTGAACTGGAAAAATATTTGGAAACATTAGAGACAGGAAAATAAAGTACCAGTGATTTCATTTTAAATGGAATCTGTACAATATTCAAATTGCTTTAAAAACAGGCAAGGTACTCACAGTATAAACAGAATTCTCAATGCGATCGCCTCGGAGAACTTCTCCCAAGTTTTCTGCATTGTTATTGATTTTTTTGGGCTTGCAGTAATTTAGATAGTAGTAATCATATGGGAGCTGTGTTTTTGTGGACGACAATTTGTTTACTTTAACAGGAAGACTATCACCCTGTTGAAAGAAAAAAAAAACGGCATTTCCATTCATTGATGTGAATTTAAACACTTAATAATAGATGGAAGGAGCAAAAAGAGGTTAGAATCGAGAATTTCTAAATCAACAAAAAAAAAAAAAAAAAAAAAAAAAAAAAAAAAAAACCAAGTTCAGAGCCAAAAACATAAATATGACCTCGAGATCAAACTACAAGCAGTTCCAGAACTTGAGTGGATAAAAACTCAAATTACATGCGTTAACAGCAGTGAACACATTGATCAGAATTCATTAGCAAGATCATACAACAGCGCTCGTATGTTTGATGACCGACATGAACTCACTGTAACCGCTAAGGCAGCCTGAACATACTACATTAAGAAACCTAATAATGCTGGAAAAACTGAACACAGCGCGTGGAGATCGCTTATGGCTCTACTTAACCATTTTACCCGACGGAGATGGTTGGCCATCGAGAAGACAAAACATGGTAGCATGATGTTAAGGATATCACATGAAAAATTTGAAGTTATTCAAATGTCAGGCATGAAGGCTACGACACGATTACACATAATGCGACATTGCTCCAACATTTCATTGCTGTAGAGTGACCACCTTCAATAAACACATAATTGAACACAACACATGTAACCAGAATACAGCATTCAATGATGTTTAGGAATATTCTGATACCGCATAATTAAGAGAACATAGCTATTAAAGAACAGATCAAGCACCAGAAACCTAGATCCGACTTAGCGCAGTACGAACTGCCAAAAACCGCACTACACGCCAGGTCGCAGATCGTGAAGAACATTTCAACAAGAAAAACAATAGCAAGTTGAAGAAACACAAGAAATAAAACAAACATTGAGAGGAAGTGATGGAATTCGTAACGCACAGTCTGGAAATCCCGAGGAGCGACGCCGGGGAGGTAGAAGGAGTGGCAGGAGGATATGAGAAGCAGACCGAGGACAACGGTGATGAGATTTGGTGAAGGTGTCGGTACCTTGCCGACCTTCTTCATTTTCCGACGACGGGGTACGGATGAGCTTTCAACGGCGACGATCTCAACGACGGAAATCTCTGGATAGAGGGCTGAGGGGTGGAGCGACAGTAATTTTCTCTTTCCACTCGAGAATAAGGAAGATGTTGTGAAGGCGGTTTTCTAAGATAAATAATAAATGCGTATTAAATAAAAAGCTTATACGATTAAATATGTGTTAAATTACAATATTAGCCTAAGAGTCCCAAAAAGAATAGGCTTCAACCAATGCTTCTTATGGTCAAAAACGGATCCTACGAACGCCTCTAAATCGTTAACGGGATTCGTTAAAAAATGGTTCATAAAGATCAAAAGGTCAATAGGCTCATTCAAAGAACTGGCACGAGCCGATCAACACGAGCCTCAAATGCACTTGTTAACCATAAAATCAAGGACTACACTTAAAAGGAGTCACTAATGAAACTGCCTTGATCGACATAGTTCTTGGACTACAAGAAACAGGCTCATAGTTGTTGCAATGTGTATTGAGTCAGTTTCTTTCTCTATTATTCTCTGTGGAGTTTTGTAATTAGTTTTTTAAACCAATTAGACGTGCTAGGTATCAAAATAGGATTCTTGTGGTAGCGGGACAGCGATGGTGTGTCACTTGTTCTAACCGGGCGAACGAGTATGTTGTATGAAAATCGTAAGTCACGAACAATTTGGACATATAATTGAGGCTCAATCACATTTGAGAAAAATTGTTTTAGAAAATGTGAGCGAGAAGACGCATTGAAAATAGTTTATAAGAAAGCAATGTTATAGACTAAAAACAAACAAGCAACAACCATAACTTTGATAGCATATAACCCAAGAATTAATGACTAGTCACATCCTTCTATATTACATTTTGGGACATTTTAGTCTTGACAATGTAGACATGATTTTGGTGAATAGTCATACACCCTCATACTGATAATAGTAAAAACCTAAGTATAATGGATTTGAAAGGGGCATGCAACCATGGACAACACGTCCTAGACAAGCATGAACGAGACATCAGACACGCAACCACAGACAATATGCCTTGGACAAACATGACCATGTCACTAGCTTCTGACCTTGTTAGAAAAACATTTGAAAATTGATTTAGGAAAGCAATGTGAGAGACTAGCGAACAAATAAATAACAACCACAGTTTTGATAGTGCATAACCCAAACAGAAAAAATTGGCAACTAGTCATATTTCGAGACCTAGTCTTGGCAGGATTAGACAACGAACAAGCATACACCCCCTAATTGACATAACAAAAATAATAAAGATCTAGCTAACACGAAAGTAAAATACACATGGTTTTAGAACGAGCATGCAACTACAAGCACACATGCCCTTAGACAAGCATGACCATGACATTCGACACTCGATCACAAACAATATGCCTTTGACAAACATGACCGTAATAACAACCAACACTTAGACACTCAATCGAGGGTCGAGGCACCTTCATTTGACAACACTTATACTTTCAAAATAAATAAAGATCGTCGTCTCGCAGGTCACAATATTTTGTCCACCAAAATGAATAACCTCAAGTGACAATATGGACTATGATATTAAACGTAGAAAAGAAATTGACGTGCTACAACGACCGTAATAAAGGGTCGTGATCTGGGCGAGGATGAGCTAACTCCTAAAATTATTGGGAAAGAAAAAAAAGAGAGGAGGATTTGTCTACGGTGAGGTCTACTCAACTTCCTATTTGAAGAACGAACTAATTAAAAAAAACCAAAAAACAGCATAAAGAAATTTGACAACGTCCATTGGAGGAGAGAATTACCGACGTGGCATTAAAGGGATTTTTTTTTTAATTTTTAATTTTTTCAACTTCCTTTAATTGAAGAGGCAATCCTCCGATTTTCTCGTAATTATACTCCCGCCCTTCAAATATTTATCGTCCACACCTCTCGGGCTTTCTGCATTTTGGAAATCGGAACGATCAACAGAGACACTCAAACCTGCATTTCGAAGCAGCTCCCATCTCCATCATCGAGTTTGGAATAGGTTAGACCCCCTTCATTTGTCTGAGATCTGTCTTTTTTGTTTTTTCTCTGTGTTCAATCGATCTCACAGAGTCTCTGCCTCTCCAGCTTCCAATTTGCATCAGCTTCTCCCTTCCTTCAAATGGGTACGTTTTTTGTTTTTTGTTTTTGTTTTGATCTTTACCAGTTTTTTTAATTTTCGTGGCGATGTTCCATCTTTATTTCGTTCAGCTTAGTTTGTACGTTTTGTTTGATTTGCGTTACGTTGAAGCATCCTTAGTGTATTTAATTTTGTTTGTTCCAATTCGATTGGGCGCGAGATGTAACGTCTCGGTATAGTTTGATTATACATTACCCTTTAATAGTTGTTTATTGCCAATAAAAGGATTTGAGCTGCCTTGATTAGGCGTGATAGATTTTCTCCAAATCTGTTATGAATGATCACTCTATTCGGGCGTATTAGATCGCTGAATTCATGATCATGCTATTTGAGAGTATTAGATCGATGAATTATATTCACCATTTCGTCTCGAAGGATGTAGAATGGTTCTAGAATGAAATGTTTGTGCTCTTGGATTTTCTTGATTATACCCTTTAATAGTTGTTTATTGCTAAATAAAAGGATTTGAGCTACCTTGATTAGGGCGTGATAGATTTTCTCCAAATCTGTTATGAATGATCACTCTATTTGGGAGTATTAGATCGCTGAATTCATGATCACGCTATTCAAGAGTATTAGATCGCTGAATTATTTTCACCATTTTGTCTCGAAGGGTGTAGAATGGTTCTAGAATGAAATGTTTGTGCTTTTGGATTTTCTTTGTGATCAAGTTCGTACCCTGGCTAATGGCATTTCTGGATCTTGGGTGTTTCTGGCTAGGGAGTTCTCTCAATTCGGCTTGTATTGATGCTGCCATCACAGTTATTTCTGAATTATAGTGTTCGGGACTAACTTTTTATAATTTATTGAGTAAAGAAGTTCCACGTTTCTTCTTGTCGCATATACAAAGAGATTATGTATCAGTTTTGCTTGGCTTCTTCTAGAAATCAGAGAGCACTATTTTCATCTCGTGTCAAAGCTAGACAGGACCACTCTTATATTGGATTACTTTTAGGAGTTTTACTTTGCCTATCGCTGTGATATCACAACGCCACAATTTAGTTTGCGGGTTTTACTTGCTTGATTTATTATCCTTTTTTGTTTTTCAATTTCTACAATTACGAGGTTCTAAGAAGCAAAGATTATCCTCTTCTGGCAGCCAAGAGCGATGAATGTTGCTCGGTTCAGCTTATAGATGGAGATGGTGCATTCAACGTCGACGGAATCGACAACTTTATCAAATTTGTGAAATTGGGGGAATGTGGACTTTCATATGCTGTAGTATCCATTATGGGCCCTCAAAGTAGTGGTAAGTAGTCTGCTTTCAAAAGCTTGTCGTATTAAAACAATGAATATAAGTTCAAGCTTCCAGCTGAGTGCTGATACTTTAATTAATCTGTTTAAGAACTTGGCGTTCTGCCTCTGTATTTTAACTGTGAAGTTCAATTTAATTATTCGAACATTATATTTTTTCTTCTTTTCATTTGGATATTTGAACTCAAAGTTTTGTATCAGATTATCTTTCCTGCTGGTTCATAGTCTCTTGTGAAATTACTTTTCTTATTATTTTTTTTTTATATAATCTGATTAGGGAAGAGTACGCTGCTAAATAATCTGTTTGCGACCAACTTTAAAGAGATGAATGCTTTTATAGGGAGGTAAGTTATTGGCGTCTCCTTATGTTTTCGGTTTTTGTAGATAAGAAATGACCCTTTTGTCTTTAGTTTATTCAGGCTTGGTGACTGAAAAGTGCAAATTGATCTGTCTTTTTCTAGGTCTCAAACAACTAAAGGTATATGGTTGGCTAGATGTGCTGGCATTGAGCCTTGTACGCTTGTAATGGATTTGGAGGGAACTGATGGAAGAGAGCGAGGAGAGGTGCATTTCTATGTTTTTTTTGGGTTATTATTGAGACTTATACGCTTCTTTTAGTTGTTCTTTTTTATTTTTTGAAATGACCATTAAGTGTTTGTCAATACTTTGAGTTCACTATTTTCACACGCCTTTTTTTTTTTGTAGAGATCAAAGATCTTTTTTTTTTTAAAAGAGCGTCGTTACTCCTTTCCACGTTTGATAAACTCATCAAAGATAAAGGGGTTTTTAGACTTTAGTATCATTTAGATGAAGATTCTGTTATCTGAACTTCGAAAAGCTCTGGGTTGTTCTTACAATTTATGTTCAATTGTCTGTTGACGAAACTCAACCTGAGGTGATTCTTAGGTGCCTATCTGAGTGAATCTGGAATTAGGAGCCTTCTAGAATCTCAAGATTCTTCATATCTGTCTTTTAATGGCAGGGTCAATACCCTAGTCTAGGCTGGGTCCAAAGAAAGAAATTTGACTTTTGTCTTTTTCCTCGTCTGTATGCCCTCTGCGTAAATAAGTATGAATGTGGTAACCAAGGACACACTTCTCTTACTCGTGGATTCTTGAAAGTTTACAATATTTCCTACTAAGAAAGGTGGAGTTGTGGTATTTGGATTAAGAGGTTGTAGGTAGACTGTTTCCTGGTTTCTAGTATGGGGTTATTTCACTAAATATTTTGCAACACCTTCAGCCTTCTCTCAAGGAAATTTGATTTGTAGATATATTGTGCCACAAGCCCCCGTCCACTTGTATCTTTTTTAGTCCCCCCACCTCTTTTTTCATATAGATCAATGAAACATAAGGGATTTTTTTTTAATAATTAAAAAAAAATCAAGTTCCCTGTGAAAACCGAATGAGTTTGAATTGTAGATTTTCTCAACTGCCATTAAGTATTGTCTTCATTTGTTTCATAATTAGGTAGATATATTGTTGGTTGTTTCTTAATTTGGTTTTGTCACGCTCTTTATTAGGATGACACTGCATTTGAGAAGCAAAGTGCCCTCTTTGCCCTTGCTGTGTCAGATATAGTGCTAATAAACATGTGAGTTTTCTTCAGTTTTGTTATTTTGATTCTCGTTTTATCTTCTAATATGTATTCCCGTATGCTCTTTTTTTTTTTTTTAATATTTCTTGTTTCCACGTAATCTAGTTTGAAAAGTTATCATTTGATTTAGGTGGTGTCATGATATTGGCCGTGAGCAGGCTGCTAATAAGCCTCTCCTCAAAACTGTATTTCAGGTATTTCCTTTAATCTGGTTGTACGTGGGTCATGGTGTATCTTCTATAATAATAGTTTAATAATTTTCCGATTCTATGGTATGCAGGTCATGATGAGACTGTTCAGTCCACGTAAAACAACGTTAGTGTTCGTCATACGTGATAAAACAAGGGTCTGTTTATATTTTCTGGGTAGTTTTTATATTTTCACCTGTTGCAGTATTAATTTAGTTTTTCTAGTGGTTGTTGAAGAACCTTTTGTTGCAAGATTGTAACTTCTCTTACAGTCTTTGTTGATTGTTCGTTTTTTCTGCATATAGACACCACTGGAAAATTTAGAGCCTGTTCTTAGAGAGGATGTACAGAAGGTAAATTATTGGTGCTTTCTTAATCATTGCGATGCCCAAAAAGTGTTATTATTTTATTCTCATTTGCATTTTCTCCACCTCTATTTTGATTGCAGATATGGGACTCTGTTCCTAAGCCACAGGCCCACAAAGATACTCCACTAAGCGATTTTTTTAACGTGAGTCCTCATTTTCTCTATTTCAAATGGATTTTCTATAGGGGAAGTAGAATTCTTTGGTAATCGATATTAATTTCTTTTGAATCATCAGGTTGAAGTTGTTGCTTTATCTAGTTTTGAAGAAAAGGAAGAGCAATTCAGAGAACAGGTATATGGATTTTGTGAAACTCTCTATTGACCCTCTGCACACAATATGAAAATTATTCTATTTCGTACCCCCCCCCCCCCCCCCCCCCCCCAACTCAAAAATAAAACTGAGGACATTTGATTTTATGGTGGCTGTCGGGATAGGGGTTCTTTGATTATATTTATTTTGGCTTTTCTCGTTCATATGTTTGCCTTCACATGTTATTGTTGTTCAAAGGAATTATATTAGTGAATCCCACAATTTTCTTCTTTCTTTTACATACTTCTCAAAGTATTGAGTTTTTTGTCTTCTTGTTCTATAAAGAAATGTTATACGGTGGTCAGAGCATCGTATTTTCCTAGATCAATGTTGTTGCATATTTTATGAACTATTGTGTTTCAAATCAGGTGGCAAATTTGAGACAGAGATTCTTCCATTCTATTGCCCCTGGAGGACTTGCTGGAGATCGCAGGGGAGTTGTTCCAGCTTCAGGATTTTCTTTTAGCGCACAGCAAATCTGGAAAGTTATCAAGGAGAACAAGGATCTTGACCTTCCAGCCCATAAGGTATAACAGTGACCAAATTCATGTTCGGAATTATATAGCCAAATGTCAACTTATCCATGGCATATCTGCAGGTTATGGTGGCTACTGTTCGCTGTGAAGAAATTGCCAGTGAGAAGTTTGCTTGGCTTGCAACAAATGAGGTTTTTTACCCAAGCGTTTAATTTTATCCTTGTCTATTTTTTTCTCATTTCTAATATATCCTGTAGTCAAAACATGCCATAAAATTAATTTATTTTATTCGATCAGGACTGGTTGAGTTTGGAAGAAGCAGTACAATCAGGCCCGGTTCAAGGTTTTGGAAAGAAGCTAAGTGCCATAATTAATACTTGTTTATCAGAGTAAGCAGTGCTTATGTTTAACACCTGTCTTGATGCTATTCAGGATGCACTCAAGTGAACACTTGTAACTTTACACATTTATTCTGTTCGCGTTAGCATTGAAGGATTTGAGTAAAGTTGGGCAAGGTCATGTAAACAGGAGGTTTCCATGGCACTTTTGCGCTCATTGTTTCATCATCATCTAGAATTTTTCTATATTCCTTGTCATATTCATAAAATGATTGTTTTTCTGATGGACTAGGATTGTCACAAGGGACTGTTCCATGCATGATTGTTAGGGTTCCTTAGTGGTAGTTTTTCAAACAATCTTGGCTTTAGAAGTGAATATCTTCTCTCTTGGAAATTCTAGTACGAGTACGAAGTAGAATTTAATAGTGGCAAGTACTTAAAGTCCCAACAAGAAGATGCCTAGATGATGAAAAATGAAAATCTTCATTTCCACTTGTTGATTTTATTGAATATTAGTTAATATGTATGTATCTCAATCGCTTATAGTTTGCATTATTAACAAACAGTGGCAACAGTAATCATGATCTAAGTTTAAAAAATGTGAAGTAGCCTTTTGGCATTCCTTTTTGGCAGCTTAGTAGAGATGTTGAAATATCAAAAACTGACATGGTTACTTTTTTTTTATTCTATTGAACATTGCTATGTTAGTTTATTCATCACAAGTTTCTTTTGTAATTTGATGATTTAGGTATGATGCAGAAGCCACATTTTTTGACGAAAGTGTGAGATCTGGGAAGAGACAACAACTTGAAGAAAAGTTGTTGCAAGTAATAATTCTACTGTATTTTTTTATCGGAAAGCAACTGCATAATTTATGAGAAATTAAAAGATTTGATATAAGCTATTTCCTATTTACTCCTGCAAATGGTTTTGAGCACTGATTTATTCTCTGGAAGTAACCTCCAGAAGGTTCCTTCAAGAGGATCTTCCTGCTGCATTGAACTTGAATACCTTTTTTTTTTTCTTTAATGTACAATTACTATTCACACTAACATCCTTCGGATGTATAATCTTGATAACCTATTGTGACATATTTTTCCTCATCAACTAGCTTGTTCAATCAGCCTTCCAATCTCTGTTGGGCCACATAAGGTCTGGGACATTTGATAAATTCAAGGAGGCATTTGACAAAGCTTTGAATGAAGGGGAAGGGTTTTCTTCGGCTGCCTCTAATTGTGCTCAAACCTATATGGCTGTTTTTGATGGTGAATGTGCTGGTAGGTTGAATTTAAAAAGACTCTGAGCTTCTAGTTGGGTTGTTTCCCTTCTGTCCCGTTTGTATGTGAAGGACAGTTAAATAGGCAACAGCTTCTAATCTCATAGGGTGTAAAATGTTTTCAATTTACTGAAGTGTTTCCATTCTTTCTCAGATTAGAATGGGTTTTGTTTGTCACTCTGTAATCCATGCTGACTTGTATCTCTGCAGGTGCTATAATTGAGCAGGCAGACTGGGACACTTCTAAAATAAGGGATAAACTTCGACGTGATATCGATGCACACATTGCAACTATACGTGCTGATAAATTATCTGAACTTTCTGCACAATTAGAGGTAAAGTCTTGTTTATGGCTCTGATACTGGACTTTTAATCTAGGTCATGTTTGAAGGCATCCATTGAGTGCTAAATTTTCTCTCAGGAGTCATTGTTTAGGTTTTGTGGAACTTTTGTAGCATTTGGATGAATCCCATATAATTGCCTTGTGAGCATTGCTGACAAGGATAACAATGATTGCAGGAAAAACTGAAGGAGGCATTGGCAGGACCTGTAGAAGCTCTGCTAGATGGAGCTAATAATGAGACATGGCCGGCTATAAGAAAACTTCTTCAACGAGAGACTGAGTCCGCCATCTCTGGGCTGTCTAAAGGACTGGTCGGCTATGATATGGATGAAAAAACTAAGGAAAAAATGATTACCAGTCTTAAGGATTATGCTAGAGGCGTAGTTGAATCAAAAACAAGAGAAGAAGCTGGAAGGGTCCTGATTCGTATGAAGGATAGGTATCAACTTTTTCATGGATGCATGTAGTTTGCACCTTCTTCGTTGGTGGTATACATTACTGATGATATTATTTAATATTGCATACAGGTTCTCTATTTTGTTTAGCCATGATTCGGATTCAATGCCCCGTGTATGGACTGGGAATGAAAATATCCGGGCAATCACCAAAACCGCTCGTTCTTCTGTATGGCACTGTTTATGATTAGTCTTTGTTTCCCTTTTTCCTATTATTATTACATCTTTATATCTATGCTTTTTATTTCTATTATATATTTCATTTATATGTTTGTATGCTGTAGTCCCTGAAGATACTATCTGTTATGGCTGCTTTACGTTTGAATGATGATGATGGTTCTGGCGAGATAGACAAAACTCTATCATCTACCTTGATGAATGTCCCAAACAATAGCAACACAAAAGATAGGAGCATTATGGCAACTGACCCTCTCGCCTCAAGCTCATGGGAAAATGCAAGTATTTTGGAGTCCTGCTTTTTCTCCCTTGTTTCTATCTCTTGAAATTTATAGTTGCATATAGAAGATCAAACCAAAAATGGTTCTCTGGCCCTTTGGGAGGCAGTAGAAATTACCAAAGAACTATCAATCTTTAGCAAGTTCTCTACCAGGAGTCGTTGTCTTGCTCTGGAGTGATCAGTGGAACAGTATTTTCCTCTCCTGTGTTCAGACAAACCTTTGTATTGTCCCCATATGGTGTTTTTTATGTCGATTTCTGGTTACAGGTTCCAGCATCACAAACGTTGATTAGCCCTGTTCAGTGCAAATCTATATGGAGGCAATTCAAGACGGAGACAGAATACACTGTCTCTCAGGCCATTGCTGCACAGGTATTAATGAAACTACTCAACTGATTAACCTGAAAAAAAATGATTTGTTTAAAAAATGAGACATTTCATGTACTCTAATTTTTTCTTGTGATTCTATGATGTGCTTAGAACTTTTAGCCATATCTGCTTTATTTCTTTTTACTAGTTAGCACGTACACTTGTTTTCCCTCTAAAAAAAAGAGTGCTATCATTGTGATAAAAACCTTTCTTTTTTTGCTATTAACTTTTTGGGTACTGAGGCAAAATGCTGTGGGAATTTTTGTTCTGGATTGTGGTTATATTAAGTAAAGGTTGATTGAATCTTACTTCTAAATCCTCAAGTAGTAAAATTGAGAATTGTCAAAGATAGGCTTAAGAAGTCTTTGGACAGTCAGGCAGGTTCTTTAAGCTCCACCCTGGCGTCCATTTGGGTTCAATTCATTTGAATGATTGTGTAGATAAAATGTGGGTTTGGATGTAGATCTTGCTGCAATTACTGCGAAGACAAGATTACATATTTGATTGATTTCCAGTGACAATTTTACAAATTATGTCAGCTACCAAAATTTTAAGGTATTTCAGAATGCAGTCTATGAGGATTTTGGAGTTTGGCCTGTAATGTTTAACCCCGTACAAGTCTATTTTGGATCAAGATTTTATGGTTCATGGCCTCATTGTATGGCATAAGCCTAATCAACAGCCATATTTCTTACAAAGAAAAAGAAAATCTAATTACCACGTCTATCACATTTAATAGTCAGTTCAGTTTTGGGTTCTGTTTATGTTTTAAATCAAATATAGTTGGTATTAATAGTTAATCAATACTGAGAATGCACACATATTGCATCTTTCTCATTTGTTGGGCGATATTGTTTTTTCAAGTCTATCTTAAATATTATTTATACTTGGCAGGAATCCAGCAAACGTAATAACAACTGGTTGCCCCCGCCATGGGCTATTATTGCACTGTTGATTCTAGGGTTTAATGAATTTATGACCCTTTTAAGGTATGTGGTGATATTTTCTGCATTATAAAATGCTAGAGCTTGTCCTGGTTTCTAAGTTCGCGTTTATCCCTCTTGTTGACAGAAATCCATTATATGTGGGTCTCTTATTTGTTCTCTATCTACTCGCCAAGGCCCTGTGGGTCCAGCTAGATGTTTCTGCGCAATTTAGCAATGGTCTTGTAAGTATCAAATCTTATTCATGTTGTGTAGAGCCGTGTTTTTCAGCAGTCCTGGTGCCTGTACTCACTGCTTAGAATTATTTTTAGTATTGCTTATATATGCATTTTTCGGCTCCCTTTGTCTGTTCTTCTGTATCATTAGATTTCTCCAGTACACATTTTTGTTTCTGTTAAAGAAAGAAAGGAATAATCTTAGTTTCCATTGGCTATCCATATAAGGCTCTTAACTTGCATGTTATATACTGAAGGGATCTAACGTCTGATCTTATTTACAAACAGCTTCCAGGGCTTATTTCATTGTCCTCCACATTCATTCCCACTGTCATGAATCTTCTTCAAAAATTGGCTGAAGAAGGACAACAGAGGCCTGCAGCTACTGATACTCCGAGCAACAGCTCATTAGTGTCAAAGAGATTTCAAAACAACTCCAGCAACGATTTGGCATCGACCGCGTCATCAGTAGTGACTTCAACAGATTCTGGCGCCGAGTACTCCAGTCGCTCTAAAGAAGAGTAGGTTGAAGGAGCTGGTAATCAGTTAATTTCTCCGATTTTCGAAGATCCTGAGTTTTTTCCTTCATCGACCCGTTGTTATCACCAAATTATGATTCATGTTTGTTTACTATTGGTAGAATGTAAGAGCAAAGGCTGAATGGAGTTCAGGCTTTAATTTTTGTGCTGAGTGCCTCAAGCCAAATGGGCTGGGGTTTGATATATACTGATAATGGAAATCCTGTATATTGGGTTTCCATAGAGCAGTCTAGGTGTTCAGTCTCTGACCCTTCTTGGGTTTGAATAGACTAAGAACGCTATTCTTTTTCCTATATTAAAGTTCGATTCTTTGCTCTTTTTCCTTTGATTTTGTCTTATAAGAGCTGTAACATTGATTTTGAGTAAAGAAAAAAAAAACCCTTTTTAGGAACCAAATTCATTGATAAAATGAAATGATACAAAAAGTTCTAAAAAAAAACTCTGCAATTATCCTAGGGAACTTGATCCTCCAGAAAATTTTCACCCTAATCCTCGTAAAAATAAATGAAAAATTTGTAGCGATGAAAAATTAAATAAGCGATGGAGATGAAAACTAGAAAGGCTTCTCCATCTCTATCCGTAAATATCTCTAGTTCTTTTAACCTTGCCATAATTTAATCCAATAAATACAGTGTAATCCTTGTGGTCACATCCATCCAGGAAAGTATGGGTCAATGAATATCAGCACCAATAAAGTTCGTATTATTGGCAACCACTAAAGGGCTGAAGGTTCCAACCCTGTATTGGTATTATAATAATCTAAAAGAATAAAGAAATTGAAGTCTTCATCGTAAATAATAATTAACCATCCATTTCACAAAATTGTTATCTTTAGAACAAAATTCATAGATCAAATGGTAAAAAACTCAAAAACCAATGGTAGAAGCACCGGCATGAAATACCATGAGGTTCATCGAAACATGAACTTGTTAAAGCTCTATCGTGTTGGGAGTCAAAAGTTCATTTTTTTTAGAGTCGTCTTGATGTTTGGACCAAAGTTCTTCTAAACTAAAGGTTCAAAGAGTTAAAAAAGCAAGGTTCGTCCGTCTATCACACTGTCTCGACGTTTGGTCCAAAGTTCATCCAAATTTTAATCCATTGTGCTTTGAAACCTAAACTTCATGGTTTGAAGAGCCCGTTTCGTCCGAATATTGACCTATTAGATCTTTGAAGAGTTAGAAGCCTAGAGTTCGTCTTTTCCAGAGCTTGTCTCGATGCTTGTGTACAAATTAGTCCTTTCTAGAGTTTAGACAAATGTTCGCCAAAAGTTCATCCTTTCTGACCCTTTTCGAGCTTTAGAAAGTTAGAAACCCAAAGTTTGTCCTTTATAGAGTCCGTCTCACTATTTTGACCAAACTTTTAACCATTAGAGTCTTGGAGGGCCACAAGCCCAAAGTTTGTCCAAACTCGAACCCATTGGAGCTTTGGAGGGCTAGAAACCCGAAGTTTGCTGCCTTCAAAGTTCGCCAAAACCTTGGGCCGGGTAAACCTTTGGAGGGTTTTGAAACCAAAAGTGTTTGGAGTTACTAGTCTGACCTCTTTTAAATATAGTTATGGATTAGGGAGTCCTATTCTTTAGGATTGATTAGTCCTATTCTTTGGAACTTTAAGTTTTTTTGGGTGATATTTTTAGGTTCAATTATGATTGTAAAGGCTATATAATGCCATGCTTATAATTAATAAAATTGCACTTGAGATCTAATTATTTACGTTCTCTACTCTAACAATCTGCTGTTGAACTTATCAATTGGTATCAGAGCCAGCTAGAAAGAAGTTGCAATCTTCAAGTGATCAAACATTAAGAGAATGAGTGACGACAAAACATTAACGAAAATTTCTCACTTCGATGGTCACTATGATCATTGGAGTGAATTGATGGAGAACTTGCTTAAAGCAAAAAGCTTATGGAACTTGGTGGAGAATGGTTTTTCAGAACCAGTAGAAGGGACAGAATTGACTGCTGCACAACAAGAACATCTTAACGATGTTAGAGTCAAGGATCATCAGGTAAAGCAATACCTGTACCAGGCAAATGATTGAATTGTCTTTGAACAAATCTTGGACCGTCGCACATCCACGATTGTTTGGGACTCAATGAAGAGAAAGTTTGGTGGAGACCAAAGAGTGAAGAAATCACTTCTTAATGCATTAAGAAGAGAGTTTGAGGTTCTGGAGATGAGAAAGGATGAAACCATCCCTGAGTATTTTGCAAGAGTGATGCATGTTGCTAATAAGATGAGAAGCAATGGAGAAGAAATGTCAGAAAAGAAAATTGTAGAAAAATCCTACGCATCCTAACTGACAAATTTACATACGTTGTAGTATCCATTGAAGAATCAAAAGATACTGATACTATGTCCATTGATGAGTTACAAAGTTCGTTAGTGGTGCATGAACAAAAATTTCAACGCCCCAGCAACAATGATGAAGAACAGGTGTTGAATGTTGTAGGTCGATATAGTACAAACAGTAGAGGGAGAGGAATGTACAGAGGAAGAGGGCGTGGAAGAGGGAGAATAAATTTCAACAAATCAACGGTTGAATGTTGTAAGTGTCACAACTTAGGACATTTTCAGTATGAATGTCCAAAGTGGAAGAATGAAGCAAATTATATTGAGCTTGATGAAGAAGATGAGATGTTGTTAATGGCCAATGTAGAACTCCATGGATCAAAGAGAAGTGACGCCTGGTTCTTAGACTCAGGTTGCTCAAATCACATGTGTGGTAATGAAAACATGTTTTCAAGCTTAGATAAAACTTTTACACACAGTGTCAAGCTTGGAAATAATACCAGAATCAAAGTGTCTGGAAAAGGTACTGTAAAATTGTTTTTGCAAGAAAATCGTTACACCAAAGTATATTGGGCACCTGATCTCAAAAACAATCTTTTAGAGAAGTATATTGGGCACCTGATCTCAAAAACAATCTTTTGAGCGTTGGACAACTTCAAGAAAAGAGAGTAGATGTACTGTTCAAAAATGGAATATGCAGTATTTATCATCCACAGAAAGAGAAAATAGAAGAATCAAGTATGAGTGCGAATCGAATGTTCATTTTTCTTGCAAAGTCATCAATTACAACAACTGAAGAAAGCTGCCTCCAAGTCTCTAATACAGATCAATCAACACTGTGACACTATCGTTATGGTCATCTTAGTTACAAAGGCGTTCGTATTTTGAAACATAAAAACATGGTGGAAGGTTTGCCGCAAATTGTTGATCAAAGCATCACTTGCGAAGGCATAAGCTTTTTGCAAAACACAGTTAGTGGAGAGCAACTGAAAAATTAGGACTTGTTCATGCTGATTTGTGTGGTCCGATTACTTCGTCTTCAAGCAGCAGAAAACGGTATGTGCTATGTTTTATAGATGATTTCTCTAGGAAGGCATGGATGTACTTTCTCCTAGAAAAATCAGAAACATTTTACCATTTTAAATATTTCAAAATGTTGGTGGAAAAAGAAGTTGGAATGCCAATAAAATGTCTGAGAACAGATAGAGGAGGAGAATTCAATTCAGCAGAATTTAATGACTTTTGCAAGCAGCATGGAGTGAAGAGACAACTGACTATATCTTATACTCCACAACCAAATGGAGTAGCTGAACACAAAAATCATACAGTGATGAACCTGGTAAGAGCTGTGTTAACAGAAAAGAAAGTAGCAAAGAGATTCTGGCCTGAAGCTGTTATGTGGGTGAATCATGTCTTAAATAGATCACCAACTCTTGCAGTGAAAGATGTAACACCAGAAGAGGCTTGGAGTGGAGTAAAACCATCAGTTGACTATTTTCGAGTTTTCGGATGTGTGGGATATTTATATTCTAGATGTTAAGAGAAAAAAACTTGAAGATAAAAGTGTAAGTTGTGTTTCATTTGGAATCAGTGGTGAATCCAAAGTGTACAGAATGTTTGATCCTGTAGCAAACAAAATCATAGTTAGCCGCGATTTAATTTTTGATGAGGATCGTGAATGGGATTGGAAAAATTCTGAAAATGAAATTGATTTAGATTGGGGAGAAGACGCAGAACAACACAGGTTCAACTTCATCGATTAACTTAGATGGTGAAATTGAACCTGCTGTTGTACCTGCTGCTGCACCTATGGCTGAACTTGCGGCTGCACCTGCGACTGAACCTACTGTTGAAATCGAACTAGGTTTTGGCTATAAGGGAGGTAGAAGCCGACACCCACCTATATGGACAACTGATTATGGTTCCGGTGAAGGTTTGTCCGAAGAAGATGATGTTAATATGACATTTTTTACAATTCAGATCCGGTAAAATATGAGAAAGCACTGAAAAAACTCAAAGTGGAGGATTGCCATGGATGAGGAGATTAAATCCATTAAAAATCAGACCTGGCACTTAGTAGCTCTACCTGCTCGTGCTAAGAAAGTTGGGGTAAAATGGATTTATAAAACTAAGCTAAATGAGCTTGGAGAGGTTGACAAATACAAGGCAAGATTGATGGTAAAAGAATACACACAAGGGCATGGAATTGATTACACTGAAGTTTTTGCGTCGGTAGCTAGAATGGATACTGTGAGGAATGATCATAGCTTTTGCATCTCAAAAAGGCTGGAAATTTCATCAGTTAGATGTAAAATCAGCATTTTTACATAAAGAATTGAAAGAAGATATCTTTGTAGAACAACCAAGAGGCTATGTAAAAAGAGGAAGTGAACATATGGTGTATAAGCTCAACAAAGCACTCTACGGGTTAAAACAGGCACCTAAAGCATGGTTCAGCCGAATCGAATCCTACTTCATCAAAGAAGGTTTTGAAAGCAGTTCTAGTGAACATACACTATTCGTTAAAAGGAAGGTAACATTTTGATTGTAAGCATATATGTTGATGATCTTTTGTTTACTAGCAATGATATGACTCATCTAGGACAAATGAGGTTCTTTCTAGAGATTGAAGTAATACAACGATCAGATGACATTTTTATATGTCAAAGGAAGTATACAGCTGAGGTTTTGAAGCGATTTGAGTTAGAAAATTACAACTCTGTTTGTAATCTCATTGTTCCATGACAAAAAATTGGTAAAGATGAAAATGGCATTAAAATGGATGCAACTTTTTTCAAACAGATAGTAGGAAGCTTGATGTATCTCATTGCCACTCGTTCTGATTTTACGTTTGTTGTCAGTCTAATAAGTTGTTTTATGGCTTGTCCGACGCAACAACATTTTGCAGTAACAAAAAGAGCTTTGAGGTACTTGAAAGGTACAGTTAAGTATGGTGTATTCTACAAAAGGGAGGAGTGAGTGAGTTGATCGGTTTTACTGATAGTGACTATGCTGGCGACATAGAAGACCGCAAAAG